TGATATACATTTCAAGAAATTATGTTATGTAATTTCAAATTAAAGACATAAGTGAGATATCACCTGCCACATATTACAATAACTATTCTCAACAAAATAAAAATATTGAAAGTGTTCTCAAATATTTGGAGCAAAGGCAACTTTGTTGATGGGAACAAAAAACTTTACAGAGGGTTCTTAAGAGAATAAACATGGAGACATTACGCTACCCTGCTCTCATATTCTGATTTCTGCTGCTATACCATAATATAAACCTGTTCAAAATGGATAAATTCCTAAACACATACAACACACCTATGTTAGAAGAGGTAAAAAATATAACAATCATGAGTAATAAGAGTGAATCAGAAATACCTCATCTATGATGAAAGAAAATAAATAAATCAGTGGAACTAATGCTGAGGTTTATCAAACATTCAAATGATAACTATAATTCTTCTTTTCTAACAGTTTTGAAACAGGTTTTTAATTTTTATATAAATTCAAGTTAATCAATCAATTAAAGCATTAATCTTTACATACCTACTGAATGTCATGTGATGTTTTACGCATGCATGCACTGTGTAATAGTTCAATCATGGTAAACACATCTATCTGCTCAAAGGTTTATCATGAGGGGATGGAATATCACACAAAGTGATTCTATGAAACAAACATCATTGTAATTCCAAAACTGAAGATACCACAACAAAAGAAGAGTACCACCAATATATCTGATGAAAGTCACTTCCAAAGCCCTCAACAGATTACTAGTTGAGATAATTCAACAGCTTATTTAAACAACATTTACCATTACAAACTTGGAAACACCTAACCAAGAGGAGTGCTTAGCATAAGCAAATCAATAAACATGACACAGCACATCAAGAGAATAAAGGACTAAAGTATATAAATACTCCAGTAGATACAGAAAAATCTTTTGAAAAATTGAAAACATTGTCATGAAAAACCTACAAACAAGTTTATAGGTTACAGCCTCAAAAACAAAGTACATATACAACAAACACACACACCAACATCATACAAGTCAGGGAAAAGTTTAAACTTTAATTCTCTAAGACCAAGAACAAGACAACTATTTCCACTTTGATGTCATATTCAATATGATACTGGAAGCTCAAGCCAGAGAAATCAAGAAACAGAAAGAATGGACACACAAATTATGAAGGGGAAATCAAAATTTTCCTGTTTGGAGGTGATATCATTATGGATATGGAAAATCATAAAGGGTTCATTAAAAGACTGATGGAATTTCTAAATACATTTTTAAATTCATGATATAAAAGATAATTTACAAAAATGGGCAGCTAATTTACAAAAATGGGCAGCAATATGTCAATATGAGGTATTTGGCAAAATTAATGATATTATTTTTCTACACACATGCATGCTGTGTCCTTTAGCTACATGTTTCTCTAACAAATGTTTGAGATGGACTAATTTCACAAGATGAATGGTGTATTTTGGCTCAGGGTTTCAGATGTGTGGGGCTACAGTTGTGCCGTCCTCACACTTTGGGACCATGGTCCTATTTATGGGTCCACGACAAAGACTTGACTTCTTTCCAGTGAGCCCCACCTCCCAGGTTCTCACCTTCACCACAAGAATTGGGGTCACTCAAGTTCAAAACCACAGCAAAAAGCACAGCATTCTACACATTCCTGTACTCCATAAAAACACATTTCACTTAAGTAAAAAAATAAATAAAAATAATAAAATTCATGTGAAGCCTCAATATATCCTGAAAACATGAATGAATCCTGAAGAAAATCAGAGCAACTGGAAAAATTATATAAAGAAAATATGCAAGGTCGGCCCGGGGATTTAGCTCAGTGGTTCCAGCGCCTGCCTCGCAAGCGCAAGGTCCCGAGTTTGATCCCCGGCACACACAAAAAAAGAAAATATACAAGGACGCCATACTAGCAGAAAATATTCATAAAGATTATCCATGAGAAATGAGTTGGTACAAGGTATAGAAAAATATTTTAAATTTGCAAAAATAGCAAATAACAAATGAAGTGAAGAAATTAGTGAGAATCTCAACACACACTTCACCAAAGAAAACATACAGATTTGAAAACATGCAATATATTAGCTACCACTAAGAAAATGAAAATTAACAATAAAATATGAAAATAGAAGAGGCTGTTAGAGAACAAGCAGTGGATCACAAGGAAAGAGAAGGAGAGTAAGGGAGTGGCAGTAAATATTACTGAAGTATTTCCTGAGCATGTACAAGCATGCCAAAATGAACCTCCACGAGGTCTCTCTTCCTGTTACTTGTCATCTGTCTTTTACTTTTCTCTACACTATTCATACTTTGGGTTTCTCATATAGGAGAAGCGATTTAACATTTAACCTCCTGTGTCAGATTCATTTCACTTAGGGTTACAGTCTCTAGAGGCATCAATTTTCCTACAGACGATTCAAACATCCTTATTTATGACTGAGTAGTACTCCATTGAATATATATATATATATATATATATATATATATCAAACTTTCTTCATTGATTTATCTCTTTAAAGTATGCTAATTATTGGGACACGATTGACTTTTCTGAAGCCAGATGGTTAAGTTGGGGTGAAATAATGAAAATATTTTATAATTTGTGAAATGAAATCAAGTCATTTATGGAATCAAAATGAAAATTTCTGCCAAAATTTGAGGCAGAAAAATGGCTCATATAGTTAGCATCTTTGGTTAATTGTATTGCTTATTTTAAAGAGTTAAACATGCATCTTCAAGGTTAAAATCACTTTATTTGTACTGCTTCAAACCATGCCAGTGTTTGACATGAAGCTCATATGTATTATGGTGAGTTTCGGATATGTCTAATAACTTTGTTCATTTTGATATATGCACTTAAACATAGACCCAGGAAGAGTGAATAATACACCACCTTGCTTTCAAATTTATTGAAAAATTCAGCCAATTTTTCATATATTTGTGCCCCCAATTTCAAGTGACATAAATACGTTTTCGGCACATTTTCAAATACAAAGTTCAGAGTTGCAAACAGACATTAAACTCAAAGAAAAATGTGATGACATCTCTTTGATAAGATCTATCTTCTCACAGGAGAGTATCTCTCATGTGACAGTCGTGAGTGTTCATGTCATCGCTTCAGGGTACATATATTTGTGAACAACTATTTTCTTTTCTTTTTTTTTCTTAGATTCTTTTATTGGTACATTGTAGGTATACAACACATTTACATTTCTCATTGGGAACTTGTACCTTTACATGATGCATCTTGGTTCTTATTTTTCCCCATTCCTAGCCCTCCCTTCACCCCCTCCACCCTTCCCTATTTACAAAGACTTTATTTCCATTTTTTCCATTTCTCATCATTTTTCCTCTCCCTTCTTTCCTTTCCCCTCCCCCTCCCACTACCTCTATCCCTTTGGACCTTTTCTTCCTATTTTGCATTATTGATTATCCATTCTAATCATTGGTACACTTTAGGTATACAATATAATGACATTCATCATTGGAAATTTGCACCTTTACATAATCTCTGTTGGTTCTTATTTTTCACCCTTGCCCAGCCCTCCCTTCAACCCCTCCATTCCTCCCTATTTACAAAGATTTTGTTCCTATTTTTCCATTTTCTCATATTAATTCCATTCCCTTCTTTCCTTTCCCCTACCCCTCCCACTTCCTTCCCCTTTGTCCCTTTTCTTCCTATTTGTGAACAACTATTTTCAAGGATTAAAGCACTGAAAAGTGAAATCAGAACACAAGTTTGTGCACTCCTTAAGAACATGCTAAGATTTGCAATGTTTTCCATCACAATCCCTCAAAATATAAGTAAAACATCTGAGTGACACATTATTAAAGAAGATACACATACAACAAATAAGCATGTGAAAGCCAAATTCACATTATTTTCATTAAAGAAGCACAAATTAAATCACAGCAGGAAACCATTAAGTGCTTTTGGCAATGAATCCAGACCTACAATGCTATTACCTACCTGGTAACTCACTCTCCTTGCTGGTGGGAGAACAAGAAGGCAAAACTACATGGAATGCACTGTGACAGCTTTTGCAAAGCCAGATCTCATCATAAAGCACAGCCCAGGAAAGTAGTGCTGTAGGTGTTTATCCAACAGATTTTAAACAGAACAGATGGAGGGAGGAGAGCTTGATGAGAGGGGACTGCGGCAGAGTTCTACAGGACAAAGAAGCTCTGGTGTGCTATTGCTCATTAGGGCAACTATAGGTCAGAGTACTGCACTGTGGGCTCACAAAGCTAGCAAAAGAGTTTGAATGATTTTAGAATAAAAATGATGAATGTTTATCCTAATTTAAATTCAACACAATGTACACATATGGTGAAACATCACATTAGCCCTAAAATCAGTACAATCTTCATGATTTTTAGTACTAGTTAAAATAAAATGCACCAATAATATATATATCTCAGAAAAATATTGACATGAAATTATTTATTTCTACTATATTCAGAACTACCCCATACTGCAAAGAAGATGTCATTCAACATGTGAATGGATGAAGAAAATGTGATACAGCCATAGAATACAATATTCTTTGCAATGACTTTCTGCTTTTAAAATAATTTCTTTGTGTTGTGAAATTTCCACTTAGTTCCTTGTACTCAAGGTTTTGGTTTTTCTAAATTTGAGAAAGTCCATTTCCTCTTATATCCACCTTCCTTCTCCTGACATTCTACTCTTCCTTGAAGATCTGAGACCATTTTTATTGTCTGAATATAATTACAGACAGATTATTCCAGACTTCTCTGCTCCCTGAATTTTAAAATTCACATCCTTTTCTTATTTTTCTCTCACTCTCACTCTTCAGAGCTGGTGTGGAGACTTCCTAGGCAGCTCCCATACCCAGTGCCAGGTCTTAGAACCAGTGACTGTCACCTAGGCTCAACCTCCTATATGCACCCCCTCCAGACACATATGCAAATTAGGGTAGGTGCTAGAAGAACAAATTCCTGTCACCAGCTAAGCTGTTGTAGAGGTCTTCATCCTGCAGGCACCATGAAGTCAATGTGGACCCTTCTCTGCCTGATGGCAGCTCCTCTGGGTGAGGCTCTTGATATCTCTCTGTAGTTGTTTACAGGGGTCGAGTGTGGGATAGGACTGGCTCACCATGACTCCCCTTGTCTTCAGGTGTCCTGTCTGATCCGACACTTCGGGAGTCAGGACCTAGCCTTGTGAAGCCATCGCAGACCCTGCCCCTCACCTGCACAGTCACCGGGGGCTCTGTCACTAGTAGTTACTACTGGAGTTGGATCCGGCAGCCTCCTGGGAAAGCTCTACAGTGGATGGGGTGGTGGTCGGGGAGCACAAACTACAACCCAGCTTTCGAGGGCCGCATCTCCATCACTGCTGACACAGCAAAGAACCAGTTCTTCCTGCAGCTGAACTCCGTGACCACAGAGGACACGGCCGTGTATTACTGTGCAAGACACAGTGAGAAGATATCAGTGTGAGCCCACACATAAACCTCCCTGCAGGTGTACCCATGACCAGCAGGGGGCACCCATGACTACAAAAAACAGAATTCACCTTCAGGGACAAATAGAGTGTGGGTAGAGATGTCTTTTCAGTATGGTGTGATGCTCCCCATTCAAACTATTTCCGGATCTGTCATCTTATATTCCTTCAAGTCTATCACTTAGGTATTTACAGGAATCACTCCTCAACTTTTGCTACTCTTATTCCTATGGTGCCCTTTTTTAGTCAGCTGATAAAGCACACTTCCCCTCACCAACCTGCCTGATATACTCTGGACTTATCCATACATCTCTTCACTCTGTATCTGCACTTGAAGATCTAATCAGTGCTCCACATTTACACATATGCAAATTTACCTGTACCTCCAGTTTTCTTGACCAATTTGGCCTCTTTCTGACTGGTGCAATCAAGTCACCTCAGTCTCTCAGTGAGGTCCTTGGAATCTTCCCTGACATTTCTTTCATTCTCACATCCACACTTCTGTTAGGAGCTCTCCACTGTGTTCCAAGTCAGGGACACATTCACAGGGAACAGCTTCTCAGGGCCCCTGAAGTGCTATTTGTCTAAAGGCAAGATGTTGACCGAGCTCTTTGCTCCTGAAAGCTATACACGGATCCCATGTTCATGCCTTTTCCAGCTTCTAGGAGCTGCCTGTCTTCCTTAGCAGGTCCCCCTCCTCCATCTTCCAAGCACATCATGGCAATCTCTGCTCTCAAAAATACTTCAACTTTCCCCTGGCCCTGACCCTTCTTTTTTCCACCTATAAGCACCCTTAGGATTACACTGACGCATCTCAGGTAAGTCAGAAGCCTATCTTCCCATCAATATCTTTGATTTAACCATATCCACAATGGCCCTTTTGCCATGATCAGGTCACAGAGTGACAGGTACTGGCGATGAACCTGTGGACACATGGGGATGCTCACTTAGCTGGCCCAGGTTCTGTCTCCTGTTCAGGCTGGGTCCACTCCAGGTACAGCCAGTACCCTGCACATGAAGGACATTGTTTAGGAGCAGCAGTAGCATAATCTATGCATATCACACTTCTAGTGTTTGTATTTGAATCTTTCCTATGTATTTCTATTTTGCTATCAATGCAGAGGTATTGATACCATAGCATTACATAGCATGTGTTCTCTTCCTAGAATTGTTTGAAAATATACCTAATACTATTTATTCCTTCCCAGATGTCAAGGGTCATGTGATTCCTTCATTAAGAGAATGCATATTTCAATACCTACAATTATAATATATACTTTGACACTTTGCACATCAAAATATTCTTCTTTTTTATGAAATTGTTATTCAATTGTTTATTCTTTTCTAATGCTTTATTGTTGAGTCATTGTACAATATTAGAAAATTCAGAAATACACTTTATCTGTTGCCTCTACAGGATTAATTCCTACTTTTGGTATTCAAAATGCCTACAATGCCTCTTGCCCTTGCTTATCCATTGCTTCTAATTATACAGCATCACTATGGGTAAGGTGGTCCCCTAGGAACAGGCATCACTTAGATGTCTCCTTACTCTTCACTGCTGTGAATGTGTGGATCCCCACACATCTCATGGCATCCCCCTAGGCAACTTCTCAACTTCGGGTTGCTACTCCTCACAGTGGGTTAAACACTTGACCCACTATATGGGCAGCAGAACATAAGTGTTTGGATTTCTACCTTATCCAGTTCTGTCCTTTGTGAGTAATTTCCACTCAGTTACATGTCTGAAGCAAAATTAGAACCTCTCTACTCTTATAAGCATGTAAGTTAGCACAGGCTTATAACTAGCTCAGTTGGGTCATCATGCTTTGTAGACATGTTTTAAAGCATCATGTTGTATACAATAAATATAATTTTATTTGTTCATTAAGAAATAAATTAACTTTCTAAAAAGAACTTCTACTCAAGTGGAAACTTCAGGTCCAATTCTTTATAGACTTAGCTCTACCCATCCTACATGTGTTAAACACAAGTCAGGAATGTCCTCTTTTCCAAAGATTTCATTTTCAGTTCTAATTTTCTTATCAATTTCATCTAGGTTGGAACATTTTAGCCTCATTTGCTGTTCCAGTATATGTACTCCTGTAAGCAGAACACTCCCTAGGATGATCCTTTATATTGGAAAAAAGTAACTATAATAATTTCTAAATCTTCTATAAAATGGGAAACTGAATATAAAATGCATAAGTTCTAGAGACAGGAAATCCATAAGAGTGTGAACACAAATTTCTGACAGCCATATGATTAGCTACAAGATGATTATGGTAACTCTTGGAAAATATGAAATAATTATAATTAATTTCTTATTGATTTTTGTTCAAAATGTAAAATACTCAATGTTATTTAGTATCAAATAAAAAGAGCACTTTCATGTGGTTGAGCATGTATTTTGACAAAGCCAATATGCAGGAATCCCTCACATGTCTCAGTATATTTTTCATTCCTTTGACAGGGTGGCTGAACTCATAAATATCTTACAATACCACAAAACCCATTTGTGAAATATTAATTGTTACTGTGGGACAAATGGCAATTGATAATTATACAAAATTCTAAAAATTGTTCATCCACACTGAAGAGTGCAGTAAGAGAAAGGGTTACAGCATTTGCAATAATATGACAAAAACATTCTCTAAATTATATTGGTTTTTATTTGTTATCTGAGCCCAATTTCTGTTGCTGTAACAAGATGGATGGATGCATGGATGGATGGATGGGCACAGTGATGAATTTATGAAGAACAGGGATTCATTTAGCTCATGGTTCTAGATGCCCAAGAGCATGGCACCAGCACCTACTTGCTTCTGGAAAGGGAATCACGCTATGTCTTCACAAGGTGGACATCATCATATTCTGAGACAGAGCAAGTGGCCAAGAAAACACTCCTTTCTGTAACAAAGCCACTCCCCCAACAGCTGTTAATCCACTAATCCGTGACTGCATTCATCCATGCATGAAGAGGTTCTCAGGAGACAATCACCTCCCAAAGGTCCTTCTTCTAAACACCGTTGAGAAGTCAGGTTCCAACTACGAAATTTAGGGAACAGTTTAAACCATTATAATTTTTTCTCTTAAATTCTTTTATTGGTACATTTTAGGTATACAATACATTTACATTTATCAGTGGGTGCTTGTACCTGTACATGATGTATCTTGGGTCATATTTGTTCTCCATTACCTGTGCGCCCTTCACCCCCTCCACCCTTCCCTATTTACATAGACTTCGTTTCCTTTTTTTTTTTTCTTTTCTTATAATTTTTCCTTTCCCTTCTTTCTTTCCCCTTCCCCTCCCAACATCCCTATCCCTTTTCGGCCATTTCTTCCTATTTCAAATTATCAATTATTCATTTTAATCCTTATTTGCACTTTCTGTTTCTTACACTAGAAAAACTATTCGGTATTTATACATGTGTGTCCTATTTATTTCACTTAAGAGTATGGCCTCGAAGCAGCGTGAAGCTCCCCGGCTCCATCCCGGGCCCCGCCCACACCACAGTGAGGTCCCAGGCCCGCCGTGGAGCACCGTCCCCATCCAGCGCTCTGCTTAGCCGCATGGGTGTCTCTAAGACCCAGTCCCCCCCCCCCCCGCCTCTGGCCTTCTGGCTTTTCTGCTACCTGGTCCCACACTACAGAGACACAGGGGATTATAAAGGCCTTTGTCCTGAGCCCCACAAGATAGAGCAGAAGTTAGTAACAGAAAGAGGGCTTCTCAGGCTCTTCGGTGACAAACTGAAGCTCAGCAGAAAAGTAAGGAGAATCTTTACAATAAAGGCTCACCAGACCACCATACTTGGTAAGTTGGAGGGATCAACATCTGGGACCATTACCTCCCATCAACACCCGCACTATCTTCAGGGGAAGGGCAACTGGAACCTGCAGGAGAACTTTGCAGATTTCAACCATGCAGGAGGACAGGGAGCTCTACTTGGGACTAGCAGCCAGAAATCTGTCTGAATCTCACAGGTCTGTTGCTGACTTGCTGAGACTCATTGACTTGTATATGCACACGGATGCCTACGTTTCCTACTGTGACAGCAGAGATATACCCTGAAGGAGGCCCATCATTTCTATTTCTTGCTATTTGTAAAAAAGAAAAAAATTTTTTTCTGTTATTTTTAATTCTTAATTTTTACTTTTTTCTACTCTTTTCAAATTTTTAATTTTCCTTCTTTTCTTTCTTTTATCTTTTCTTTCTCTCTCTCTCATTCTCTCACTGTGCCACATTGCTCTTCATCACCCCATTTGTTCCTTTCTGCACTAAAATTGGATTTCTCCTTTATTTTTCTTTTCTTCTCTTTTTCCTTCCCTTGATTATCATTAGTTTTAAAGGAAAGTAAATATGGTATCTAGCCTCCCTGTTGCTGTTAGGCGATTCTGTTCACATCTTTGTCCTTTCATTCTGCCATTTCCTCTTGCCTTTAACAATTTCTTAAAGTTTGTGTGATCTTCCTGTGTCTTCTGGCCTCACCACTAATCTCCCTCCCCAACACCTACTAACTCCCCACCCTGAAGGGGAAACATGCTATAAACTATAAACATGCTATTCACTATAAACATGTGTTAGGTTGGTCGTCAGTTTTAATGTAATACACATAGTCAAATGTGATAGATTAATAACTACCACAAATTGTTGTTTTCTACACTGTGCTTGATGCTATGGTATTCCTGATTGTATCATTTGGCCTAACATGTTGTGATTGATCTAATCAGTTTTCCTTCCTGGTATAAGGAAGGAAAATAAAATAGCCTCAGAATCATTAGAGCCTCAAAACCTAAACACAAGCTATATCTGAAAAACACCTCTGAAAAGCAATCATTCCACAAGGGTTTTAAACGCAAGCAACAAAGATACCTAAGTTAAGCAATTTTGAAATATCAACCCAGGAATTAAACCAAGGACAGTACCAAAAAAAAAAAATGAGAAGACATTTAAGCACACCACAAAAAGGAAATTCTGGGGGAAATGAGGTGCAAA